CTTAACCTCAGTGAAAGTCTTTGGGACGTGCTGGAGGAGACTTTACAGAGTGCTCACCTCTTTCATTGTCAGTACAAGATCTTGACCAAAAATTGGTGCACCGCTTGATGGAAATAAATGTTGTGATGTCATTTTGATTTATTTGATGAATCTTGGCAGTGTCATCCTGGAATATGGCCATGATGCGTCTTTCTACATGATTATTAAAGAACTAAAAAGCTACACACCTGATCTTTTAAGATTAAAAGAACTGTTGCCAAACATATAACATGCTAGAAACATTATAAATCACTCTAATAATGATCCATTCATACACTCTTATGTATTTGCCTCTTAAAATCTAAACAGCGACTTTTTTTTGGCCGGGCAGTGTATATCTTTCATTTCATCAAGCTGAATGCTCACTAAAAACTAACAGTCATCACGTTTTCAGGCCATTTCAAGTTTTCATTTTTGACGTGACACAAAGCAGTGATATCTAAGCGCGTGAGTTGTTTACTTACTTTATAATTAATCAGTAACGCCATCATTTTGTCCATTCAGGCCGAGATCTCGCACGAAAACAAGAGGCGGGATTTATCGAATGAACCTACCACATCCAATCATAACCGATCACATCCAATCATAACCGATCACATCCAGTCATAACCGATCACATCCAATCATAACCGATCACATCCAGTCATAACCGATCACATCCAGTCATAACCGATCACATCCAATCATAACCGGTCACATCCAGTCATAACCGATCACATCCAATCATAACCGATCACACCCAGTCATAACCGATCACATCCAGTCATAATCTATCATGTCCAGTCATAACCGATCACATCCAATCATAACTGATCACATCCAATCATAACCGATCACATCCAGTCATAACCGATCACATCCAATCATAACCGACCATATCCAGTCATAACCTATCACATCCAATCATAACCGATCACATCCAATTATAGCGCGATGGAGGCGTTGCCTCCTCTCACGTGACTTTGCCCCATTCATTCTCAATGACCCCCCACTAAACCCACGGCACGTTATGGGCTCTCTGTTATAAGTCAGTGGGCTGAGGGGAGGCAAGCCTCCGCTGTAACTTTACCTGCGGGTGTCGCTGTTGGACAGTGTTACTTTATAAAAACGAGTGACTTTTATACTTTTAATGTCATTTTTAGTAATATTTGCGTTGTTTTATTTATGCAATATCGATTATTTTCTTATCCAATTTTTTTGAGGAGGCACTGCCTCCCTTGCCTCCTCGGAGGAAACGCCCCTGCCTCTGAGGTACAGGATGAAGTAGCCTCTCCCAAACACAGTGCTTTCATCCACTGGTAGACCAAACCAAGAACCAACACTTTTAATTGTTGAGACAATTTTTCTTCTAATTTTATTTTGTGTGTTATTATATTAATGCAGGAGTGATCGGATCTGTGACAGGAGCCAGTTTTTACTCCATTCATTTTTGAGAACACTAACCTCTCTTTTGCAACAAAATGTGCTGTCCTAAACGAATGCACTCTGTCTGTCTGGACAACACCTCTTTCTCTCTGTGCTGTTTAATTTCTGATGCCTTCTTGCGAGCTAAGCCATTTCTATGTTTGTAGATTTTCTTTCTCATAGCCCTGACATCCTTTGCTGAGACGTCTCCAGAAGCCCACTCCTCTGCCACCTGTACTCCCTTCTGAGTTCCAAAAAAGGGGCTTGGCATCTGCGCCGAATGTGCATCTTAACTCATTTCCATTTATTTATAACCAAAGGGAGTAGTGCTGCGTCCATGCCTCAAGCTGTTGCTTGTTTTAGTGTCTTATCTGATCTGTACTAGTGAGCAGGGACAAAGTTGTGCCCATGGACTGCGCTGGATGTGCAGCCTCTCTAATTCCTGTGAAGACTGAGGAAAGCACATCTCCCGCCCCCCGTCCTCACCATGTTCTACAGAGGGACTATCGAGAGCATCCTGAGCAGCTAGATCACTGCCTGGTTTGGGAATTGCACCGTCTCGGATCGCAAGACCCTTCAGCGAATAGTGAGGACAGCTGAGAAGATCATCGGGGTCTCTCTTCCCTCCATCACGGACGTTTACACCTCACGCTGCATCCGCAAAGCCACCAGCATTATGGATGACCCCACACACCCCTCTCACACACTCCTCACCCTCCTGGCAAACGGTACCGAAGCATTCGGGCCCTCAGACTATGCAACAGTTTCTTCTTCCCAAGACATCAGACTCATCAACACTCAGGGACTGGACTGTAACACACACACACACACACACACACTCAACTGAGCGTCACCTCATCCACTTTGCAATATTTGCACACACCTGCAATTTCTGCTGCTATAAATATTTATTATATACAATATATTTATACTCTCCACCTGGCTGCTATGTTTACATTCACCTTATTTTGTCAATCTTTTGCACTACTGTCATAAGAGTCACTTTTTTTTTAGAACTGTGTGCTAGTCGGAGCTACACTGTAACTCACCGTGCCCATTGGCTGTTTTGGTAGATTTGTACCATCTTGTGCCATCTGCATATGTTTGCACTGTAAATATATGCAATGTCTACTGTAGTTCTGTGTTTATGTAGCACCATGGTCCTGGAGGAACGTTGTTCCGTTTCACTGCAATAACTAGCCACTTGACTTGATGTGCACAGTGTGTAGTGGATGTGCTTCTGCTGACTAGTGTTGTCCTGGACTGGAGCTGGTCTGTGTGTATTTTTTGTTACTTTGAGTCTACGTGCAAGTGCTGTACTGTTTGTGTCCTGCTTTTGCGTTGTACTGATGTGACTCCTCTTAGGCTGGACGCTACAAGAAATAAATATTACATACTAATCTAATGTTCCAAAATGTTTTCCTTATATACTTTTGCTTAAGAGTCTTAAAACAGTCCCTCTAAAGTGACTCAAAATGAAAAAATATATATATATTTAGGATTACACTTCAAAAATATCAGTGATGGATCTTCTCTTCTTTCAATTTCCAGTGTCTATATCTGAGAAAATAATTCTATTTCAGTGAATCTGACAATAAGCTAGGTTTATGTACGAAATAAACATTTCTGTTTTTTTTAAATCCTAAAGTCTATGCTCACTGCGACACTCCAAAAGCAGTTAAAGTGGTTGGTGAACATTTAAAAATAAAATCTTGGTTAAAATCTCCCATTTTCTTTTTCCTTTTCTCTGATTTATGTTAGATGGTTGGTTACAACTGTCTGAGCTAAAATACTGTTCGAAGAAGAAGGACTACTTGTATATTGAAATTATAAACTTTAAATTCTGAGATAAACGCTTATTCAATGTCAATAAATTGACCAAAAATCTAGTTTTATGTTTCTAGTATTCGAACAATTCGAACACTGTACTCGAAACTCGGAAAAGCCTGACCTCCGACATAGAAAAGTGTCCGAATTCCCAGTGGGCAACTCAGGCAATATTCACCTTACCTGAATTGTGACAAACAAACCCGAAGTCACATCAATATAGCAGCTCACAGCAGTAAACAGGACTCCCCCATTGCATTATTTTCTACTTGATAAAACTTGATATGTAGTTTTTTTTGTTGTGAAATCATTTTAACTGTTTTGTACATTTAGATAGTAATGTAATTCCACTGATTTCAGCCAAAATATACTAAATAAACACCACTGTAAAAGATCGCTTTTATGAGCAATGCGAACAGGACAGTTAACCTACGTTATCTTATTAATATGTTTATCATATTCTGAGATGAGGCATTCAAATATGACCTTGCTCTGGGCATCTATGTTTTTCCAAGGCGAAGCACTGGAACGCTTTTTGAAGTAGTAGTGAAGTGACTTGTGGCCAAGTACAGTGACCCATACTCGGAATTTGTGCTCTGCATTTAACCCATCCAAGTGCACACATACAGTAGTGAACACGCACACACCGTGAACACACACCCGGAGCAGTGGGCAGCCATTTTAGCTGCGGCGCCCGGGGAGCAGTTGGGGGATCGGTGCCTTGCTCAAGGGTCTCACCTCAGTCGTGGTATTGAGGGTGGAAGAGAGCGCTGGTCATTCACTCCCCCCACCTACAATCCCTGCCGGACCCGAGACAGTGAGTACAGTGGATTGCATTATTAGTTCCACCCTCAATGTTGAATGCTGCATTCAACTTAACTTGGAAGTGAGAAGCTGGAACTCATGATGGAGCTCTTTAGCTCTGTAGCTCTTTGAGCTACAAAGTGGGGGAAAAAACACTGATGCCTCAATGTTCTCCTTTTGTTAGCAACAATCTTGCTAGTGATGTATATTTTTCTCCTCAAAACAGACAACTGTATAGTCAGTGTTATAGATTTAACAATCTAATGTGTCTGTATGTTGATTGATCTAACACAAATACTAGCATATCCTGTATATTATAACTCATTGAAAAGTAAAGAAGTGCTATGGTGTTTACTGTGGATGCTGTGAGCAGCCATGTCGATTTGATGTCACTTGCTGAACTCAGGGTTGAGGAGACTTTTTCAACTTTACGAGTAGGGATTCTGTATTGAGGGGCGTTTTCTTTGGTTTTTCCTGGTCAGAGTTCAAGTAACAAATTATAGTCGAATGCAGCATAAGCTGTTGGAGCAGATGGGGAATCGCCGAAGACAAACCTTAGCCAGAGATTATGAAGATATTTCAGATATCACTGATATATAACTGGTCATTTTGAGTTCTTGTCATCACGCATGCTAGCTATGTACAGTATATCACGCCAAATCACACTAAAAAGTATATAAAAACAGTTTCCCCAACTATTACTTTATATACTGTATGGAGCAGCTTTCTACTTCGAATGATAGTATGTGGTTTGGGATACAGCCTGTGTGTTGTGCTGTATGCTGAACGACCACCACTAGCCTACCAAATGAATCTCTCATGCAAAGCAGGTAAAGTCTCTGATTTTAAACTCTGCTGAAAAAAAGAAACTAGTTTCTTATAGTCTAAAAATGACCAGATGGAAAATGTCAGTTTCCACAGCTTAGGCCCGCGGTGGCTCAGAGGTTAAGGCTCTGGGTTAGTGATCAGAAGGTCAGGAGTTCAAGCCACCACCTATGGGCCCCTGAGCAAGGCCCTTAACCCTCTCTGCTCCAGGGGCGCTGTATCATGGCTGACCCTGCGCTCTGACCCCAGGTTCCTAACAAGCTCTGCAAAGAAAAGAGTTTCGCTGTGCTGTAATGTATATGTGACAAACAAAAGCTTCGGCTGCTTTAAATTGTACAGAGCATTAGAGCTAAATCTGTTCCTAGCTCAAATACTTGTTTTATCTGAAAGCAGGAAGTATCCATATTTAGCCTTCCACAAACCTAAAGCTGGATCTCCAAGAACGATCATCACTCTAAAGTATACCGCAGCGCTGTTGAATTCTTGATTTTGATTTGTCAAAATGGATTTATTTTCTCTAACAGCATGGATTGGACAGTAGTTCCAGCTGCAAGGCAAATCACAGGTTTGAATTTTAACGTACTTGTTTTTAACATAGGAACTTGTATGGCAGATGCTGACATGAATAGATTTAAATGTGTGTAATTGTTTGATGATTTTTGGTAACTTTTCTGAGAGGAGACATATCTTAAACATTTTTGGAAGGTCTCTTCAGTGACACTGAAACTGTAACTTTAGGTTTTTTGACATGGGAAAATTTTGCAGATGAGAAATTAATGAGTGACTGACCAAATCACACCACCGAAACTGCAAAAATATATTTTATTTGAAGGAGAATGGCTCTCCAGGAATCTTGAAATGGTTCGCTGCACCTTCACTTTTATATTCTGACACCAGTCCTTTCCCCCATGAGGCAGACAACTGAATTCTTAGCACGTCACTCAAACTGTTTCCTCTCAAGACCCAAAAATTCGAGAGCATTTCCTGCCAGGAGGTTATCCTGCAAATAAGCGAGAAAAAAAAAAAGAAAAGAAAAAAAAAACTCCAGCTGAGTGTTGACAAAGCTCAGACATGATCAAATATGAACATTTGAAATTTGAGTAGATCTGCACAAATGTTCTCATCAGCCAACTATCTAAGCATCATGGGAAGATTTAAATATCAGCATTAGGGACCTGGTACCTTTAGTGTGCCGTCAAATTCACGCATCGATTCTATCAATGTTCCCGGCTCCAGTTCTCCAAGAGGAAATGGGTAATCTGTTCCTAACATCACCTTATCCTGGAACAGAAGAGTGCACAGCGCTTATAAAGACAGACTCATTCAGACACGTTTGTGTCTGTAACACAAAAATATCACCTTGACATTGCAAGACAGTCTTCAGGCATGTATACAAAAAAGCAGCACATTTTTATAAATATTGTGTTTCGATGTGGATCTCTGTTATATTATATACAGTATAGCCTATGAAATATTTAATGTAAAAGTCTTTTTTTTTCCCCACTGTCTTGTATGCTACATGTCTTTAACGTGTACACGAATATCTTACTTTTGAATATTTGCCTGCGTTCCTTCTGAGTGGTCACATGACCAGATATCCAGCCTCTCACTGATGCTAAATGAGGCAATGAGTTCAAAGGTCACACCCGTAATGTGGAAATTATACAGAGAACTTGAACTTATCTTGAACTTATATTTCCTATCATGATGTGCATCTAATTGTGCAAAGTTTCGAAGTTGTAGGCTGTGACTTGGCATTTCTAAACACACTTGAATGCTGTAATAAGTAAGCCAACAGATTACTTAAAATAAGTTTATAGTATGTAGTACTAGATTTCAGATATACAGTATTTCCTGAGATGAGAAAGGAATCTTACCTTCCCGATGACATCAATGAGTAACTGAAGAGCAAGCGGGTCATGGACCAGAGAGTCAGTATAAAACGATCCTAAGTATTGACGTGGATTGATCTTATTGTCTGTAGCACACAGGTCTGGCCGGACGTTGAATCCATGCTCGATTCGTCCAATTGTATAAGGAAAAGCACCACCTTGAAGAGATGATGCGGCATTAATCATACAAAACGTCGTCACCATCAGAGCTGAAAGTTTGAGGTGTTTCATAACCAACCTCCATGAGCAAAGCAGACCTTTAGCTTTGGGAATCTTTCAAAAATACCCCCAAAGATCATGGAGCAAATAGCCATTGTAGTTTCTGAAGGCATACCTGTAGGGAAGTGAACTTGAACTATTATCATGTTAATAATACTTTCTAACCTCTTTTTTAAATCATTTGCCAAGCCTGAATAAACAATTGTCTTACTGAGGAAAAATATTTGTGAAATGGTCACTAGTCAGTTGATTCTACCATCAAGGCACCCTGTGTACTGTAAGCCCATAAGGACTGAATCTAATTTAAATAATCCAATAGAATTTGGTTTAAAAATATTGTGTGACAGCATCAGTTCATACTCACCAACTAGCCATGGCAGCCAGTACTTGGCCATTCTCCCATCTGTCTGCATATCCCATGGATGCACAAATAATGCACAGTTTAGCTCCTCAGCAGCCTGAGGGGTTCAGAAACACTATACATTAATCCATATGCATGTCTTGCTATCAATAGGCACTACAAGAGCCTTATTTTAATTGCAATATCTGATATACCGTACCATCACTGGACTTCCTGTAGACTTACAGCCATTCACATTCACATCACGGCAGTATATAGTCTATAATCCTAGTGCCAACTCATCAGCTAATTACCATTTACTCATTCTTTTGTATTAAGCATTTGCAAAATGCAGAAATATACAGGGCAGCACAGTGGCTTAAAAGGTAGCGAGCATTTCCTGCTTCACCGCTCGATGGGCTGGGATTCAAGTCTACAATCTGTCATAGTGGAGTTTTGCGTGTGTGTGTGTGTGTGTGTGTGTGTGTGTCTTTCTTCTAGGTATTGCATTTCCCACATACCAAAAACATGCTGGCAGATGGATTGGCATCGTATTTGGAGTGTATCCCTAATGTTCTGGATCCACTGCATCCAGGTTAAAGTAGTTACTGAAGATAACTATTACCGGATATAAGCCCGAGTGGGGGCCCAGGCGTTCCATTAACATGTAGACTATAGGTGTATAACACTAAAATATAGTGGTAAATAAATAAATAAATGAATAAAATGTTATATCAGTAAAATGCTACTGATATAAAAAATATTTATCTTTGGCGAGATTATCAGTGTAATTTTTATTTAACTTCTAAACTGGTTGCGAAATGTTAATAATTATAGAAATAACTGGATCTCCTCAGTTTACACACTGCCCACACACACACACACACCTGTCTGCACTGCTGGTAAGAAGCTTTTATTAATATTTTAATCAAATATATGGCACTGAGGCACTGCAGCAATAAAATGAACACACAGAGTAAGATCAATGCTAAAGTCATTAAAGACTGGGATTGATTCTGAACACTAGATTCACAAGAAACACAGAGTGCACAAGTATAGCATCTAACAAAAAATATATCAGAACCTTGTTTTGTACCAAGATTACCAACTGATTGTAGAACTAAATGATTTTTGAAGCTAAATTAGCAAAGATGTCCTTAAATAACTAAAGTGCCAGCACCCTCACTTCTGGTTCCTGGCTCTCTTCATCATCTATCTTGGTCAGTGGTAACAATAGGAACTTCAAAGCACGCTCATCCGATCACGGTGGAGACACATGGAGACATTTTGGCATTTCTGCATCCTGTGCTCGCTTCTAGCCATGTCATTGCTTTGGTCTTATAAGTTTTTCAGGTTATTGCTTTCATTTTGCTTTTCCCTAAGCACAAAGTCATACTTTTTCCTAACTAATAAATGACCAGAGAGAGTTGAGTATAATGTTCTGCTAAACGCTTTTAAACAAACCTCTTGCGACATGTTATAAGGGCTATTGCTTCATTGCTTATGAAATAAACTGCTGATCTTACAGAGTGATTTTTTTTAAAATATGGTACATGTTTAGAGTTCTATGAGACTGGTTCATACAGTACATCATAAGGCTTATTAATAAAGCCTCTGAGTCACCTTTTAGCACAAAGCTTCATATAACAGATCGAGAGATTTAAAGAAAGTGTTGCACATATTAATGATTAGTGAATGCTGAGAGGGAGAATACCTTTCCAACATTTTAAGTAAAATCCATTGTTTGGAATCAATATGTTATAAATTCATACATTCATTCATCTTCAGTCAGGGTCATCTTGGTCAAGGTCACACACGCAATCCCACCTAGGGCAATTTAGTGTAGTCAATCCACCTAAGTGGAATTCACCTAAACTAGAAAACCTGGAAGGAAAGTGGAAAATATTCACAGAAGCTTTGCACAGACAGCAACCCAAGCTTCGGATCGAACTAGGGGCCATGGAGGAGAGGCGGCAATGCTACCTGCTGTGCCACAGTACCAACCGTGCCCACACACACACACACCTACACACATTTAACCTTCACTTGTGTCTATTTATTTCAGATCCTCAGGGTGCATCACATTATTGAATAATTAGCGTAGTCTGATCTTCAGAGAGAGCATATTTATTTATTTAGGTTTGAAATCCACTATCCTCATTCTAAGGCTCGTTCTCAACCTCAGGTTTTAACATTTTCCTGGTTGGTTCTAGGTTCTATAGCTCCATCACACTCAATCAATTGCAGCTTATTATTTAAACAAGATATGACAGTACCATCACTTAAAAGGACAAAAAAATTAATCAAAGCCTCAGGTTGTGAAATGTTAATGATCGAATATTTTGTAGCTAAGGTCACCTGACTTACAGCGTAAACAG